CAGAAAAATGTCTTCGGCATAGCTTTGAGAGTAAATCAAATTAATGTTTTGGTTCATTCCCTTAAACAATGTAAAAATACCTAATAACAGTGAAAAAATTAAAATACAGTCAAACTCACCGTTAGGTTGAACTAGAAGTTCCCTCTGTTTTGTAAATGGTATTTGTGTCATATTATCTTCCACAGCGTCCCATATAACTACATCTGCAGGTGCCTGAGCAGGAGCTTTTCTTTTTAATTGGGGTGTTGGGCGTTGTGGAGTTGCTAAATCTAAATTATTGTCCGAAACATCGGGAGTGTTTTCCTCGAGTACCGACAAATCTAGTTCTTCGTCACTATCGCTAGACCCATCCCATCCAACATCCGATTCTTCAAAGTCTGGGTCACCAACATCATCATCTGAATCAAGCAAATACCGTTCCAAGTCATCTTGAGTCAAAGGAACAGTTTGTTCAAATGTTCTCTTGCCTAATTTAGGTCTTTTCGCCCCTGAGGGTCCTGCCGTACTATCACACATGACGAACTCAAACTGTAATAATTTTACGCTAATTCACTACGTATACAAGCGGCTGAGTACATCTCTGCTCAAAGGCTGACGGAATACTAAAGCATTATACGAGACATTGTACAGGCCGTCGAAAGACGCCGTCCGTTTCCCACCACAGAAGCGGTGGGCGTCGAAAGACGTCCTCAGCAGCGAACGGGATATCCTTAAGTATTCAATACTAGACGTGACCTTTGGAGAGGCAGTTGAACAGCTCTTTTAACATTCATTTTTTCAATATTTGTAGGCATTGTTTTTTTCCTTTGAGAAATCCAAAATAAATTAAATGATTACCTACTTACGACGATGTTTATTTGTTGAGAAATATATCCAAAAGTTTTGCATCCACACATTGAAGTCCCACTAGTTAATAATGATCATTTACTACTGAGATGGGTAATGAAGAATTTTTTAAATTAATATACAGTGTTAGAACCTATTCATTCTGTTCGTGAAAATTTTCAATCATCTGTCAACTTCCTGGTCTACAGATCAACTTCTTCAAAATTTTCGAATTGTATGACGGGGTCAAGTTACACCTTGTTCGAGAGGTATTTCAAATTTTTATGCAACAGGTTTTTTTCTTCAATTCGGTTGATCCCTTAACTGATTTTGAATGTGGGTAAATTTACTTTACAAGTTATGCAATGAAACAGTACCATTACCATCGATTTGAACAAATTTTTTTATCAATTTTGAATATTTCGACTGATTTTTTACGGGTATGGATTAACCTAATGAAAAAAAAATAGAAGAATGGACCATTGTATAGATATTTGAAATTCCTCTCTAGCAAGATGTAACTTGACCCCTTGTACAATTTGAAAATTTTCAAAAATAAGAATCGACCTGTCTAAGGATTTTACTCCATCATTTGTTCAAAAACTGTATACCATTGTAAATATTCATGGCATTCCCCCTTTTTGTCTACCTTTATGAATATATATTTTTTAAATTCAGGACACGGTTTATATATACTCAATAAACGTCACTGCCCCATAAAGCATTATCCTTTTACTTCCGGTTCAACTCTCGATATTCAAAGATGGGACATCATGTATATTGATTCCAATATTCGGTTATAGTTTGTTTGCCAAAATATTCTACTTGTGCCATCTTTTTGAATCCGTAATAATTTATCCCTACCTGAACATAAGAAATATACAGGGTATCTCGTTGTTGTTGTTGGTGTAATTCTGCTAGTTGAAACGGAAAATAAAGATAATTCAATGAGCCAAAGATTGACGTTTATGCAGTAATTTTACGATTTCCAAAAATCTTTCTTAGTGTAGAAATAACGGGAGCGTACATGATTATGTGGAACACGTTATAGGTACTGGATGTACCAGATAAATTTATACAGCATACAGCTAATATCTCTGATATATCATTTAGAAAAAAATCTGAAAAAAACATTGAGATAGAATGTCAAATTTGAATTCTACCCATAGGAAATCACCCCAAACTTCCAATATTTGATGAGAATTTAATTTCATTTTCATGTCACACCTTTTCATTTGTCATGAAACTGCTGAAATTGAGAAAGAAACTACAAGTTATTTCGAATAGTTTCCATTGTTAAAGTGCTTTATAACAATATAACTAGTAGACATGATGCTTCACAAGCAACTTTTGATGATTATTCAATTTCATAGCAGTAATGTTAACATTTTGAATATCTTGATTCTCAAGTTTCACATATATTTGAATATTATGTGATATATTCTCGAAATTGAAATAGATTGTTAATGAAATATATGATGAAATTATGAAAATGTGTATTGTTAATTTCGTTCACAAGGAAAAAAGAAACAACCTGGTTGAAAGTTTTTACCGTACTACATCCTTTATGTGTTGTACATTAAACCTCCAATCAACTGTTGATAAGGAACATTTCTGGGCTTTTCCTTGACTTTTCATTTACAATGATATCTCGGCTAGTAACAATTGACTTTGTTATTGGATCAAATAACCTATACCCCTTGACGTTTTCACAAAAACCAACCAGTATCATTTTCTTAGATTTTTTATCAAATTTGTACCTTTTTTCTGCAGGTATCAACATCATAACTTCACTGCCAAAAATCTTGATATTAGTTACATCTGGTTGATTTTGGGACCAAATTTCATAGGGTGTCTTCTTAAGTTGTGTCACTATTGACCTGTTCCTCAGATACACTGCCGTATTTACTATTCCAGCCCAGAAACACTTGTCAAGTCCTCCATCGAAGAGTTAGCAGCGTGCTTTTTCTACCAATGTGCGATTCATTCTTTCGCTCATGCCGTTTGGTGAATGATTCCATTATCTATTAGGAATTTTTCAAACAGCAGACAGCAAAATTCACCACCATTATCTGTTTTTAACATCTTGATTTTAGAATTCGTTTATTTTTCAGCCATCAATTTGAATTGTTTGAAGTATTCCAGTGCCTGGTTCTTGGCTTTTAGAAAATAAATAAACGATATCCTACTAAAATCGTCCTCCAAAACGCGATAATACTTGGGACCTCCCAGCGAAGTCACCTCCATTGGCCCACATAGGTCAGCATGGATTACTTCCAACAGCTGTGTTGCACGTGTGCCTTCATGTTTGAATGGTAACCTACATTGTTTCCCCTCACAACATACATGTTTCCTTGATGTTGAAACTTCCTTGACAATCCATCCCACTAACTACGTTTTGGGTAAGAGAAAGGTCCTTATAATGTGTGTGTCCAAAACGCCAAGTTCAATGTGTACATATTGTTCTCCAATTCAGCAGTCGCAACTAATTCACCAGCACTATTGTAAATCTGACAATCTCTTTCACAAACAATTACTTGATTTTCCATTTTTGTGAGTTGTCCAACAGATAGCAAATTAGTTGAGACCTTTGGCAGATACAGAATATCCTTCACAACAATGTTTACTGTCTGTTCATCAACAGTTGTCAAAATGTTTACTTGACCTGAACATTTTTTACTGACAGTTTTTCATTGTTAGCAACGATTATTTCTTTGACATCAGTCTCAGTTGTATTTATCAACCAATCCTCTCTGGACGTTACATGGGTACTGGCTGCAGAATCAATGTACCAGTAACCATCATCGAAGTTACCACTAAGGAAAACCACACTGAAAACATTTGTCTTGCTTTCTTTTTCCTTGTCCTTGTTAATCTGTTCCAAATTTGGGCACTTATTTCGGAAATGGTCTGATTGTTTGCATTTATAACAGATTTTCTCACTCCGCCCCTCCTTTTTGATATTTGTGCTGCCATCTCTCGATTTTCCTTTGAAACTTGCTCTGCTAGCAAAAGCGATCGCCGATCGGCTTGAGTCGCCATCTGTTTCCATATCGAGAAGCTTTGCTTCATCTCGTCCGCGATCACTGTAATCCCCGAATGCTCTGTGGCCATCATCATTGGAGCATATCTTTCCGGTAATTCCGCCAAAAGAAGTGATCCTACCCATTCCTATAACTGAGTAGAAGTTTTAATCTTCTCCTGAAGATGCTAACATAGTTAGCGAAACACGTGTCGAGGCGTTAAAAAATCGTTTAGGTTAGTGGTAAAACAGTGTAGTGTCTATCCATTCCTCACTGATCTTGAATCCTGTTTTGTCCATTTTTCTGAAAGTTTCTATTACTTGCGTGACGTAATTTTCCATTGAACTGCAGTTCTCATAACGCAAGGATATCAGGGTACGCAAAAGGCCAATTTTGCGTGTGAATCCATTGTCCTCGTACATTTTCTTCAGAGTATCCCAAACATCATTGCACGATTGTTTATCTCTGACATGTACGAAAATGGATGGATCCAACGTGAGGATTTACTTAGCTTTGGCTATCGTAACCGTATCAGTCTCAGTACCATCAATGCATTTAGTGAGTCCTTTCAAAACAAAAACGGTTTCGACAGCGAAACTCCATTCCGCGTAATTTTCGCGACCGACCAATCTTTGTACACTGTTCAGGTAATTGACCGCCATTTCCTGCCAACACACGAGCACGACATTTTCGACCAAATACTTTGATTCTAAATATTTCCCGAAAAACTAAGACAAAATGAATTGTCCATGGGCATCTTCAGGAAATTTGACAACTGGCACTAGATACATTGATGACACTGACTCAGTAAAGGTAGGTACAAATGAATATTTTGATCCACAAACTATATCCAACAATTGTTACTCTGGAATCACCTAAGAAATATAAAGGTCGCTATTTAAAGCTGAAGGTGATTTCTTAGGGCAACCCGGCATATGGGGTGTTTTCGAAATTGGAGCGATATGGTTTTCGGTTTATTTACAACTGGGCCCTCACTGCATGCGAAAAATGAAGTATTTATTCTATTATTGGTCATTGTCAATTATAATTTCAATGGGTGTTAAGTTAGCTGATTTAAATAAATATTGGTACTCCAGTAGAATTAGAATTTGCACAATTGCTCTTGAATCAAATGAGGAATAAAAATTACAAATACATACTTAGTCCTAGTTAAAATGTCCCCCTCGTGAAAAGTCATTGTTGAATTTGCAATATTGAGTTCTACTTGAATGTGGAATAATATACTGGGTGTCTCGCCCCTATTCACGTAAGGAAGTTTAGGTGCACTTCAGTGCCACTTTGTATACATTCGATTTATTCGATAACATATGTAGAGTGAGCATTATCAAATATACTGGGTGACCAAATTTCAAGTCATTTGATCGCGCGGTTGATTTTTTAAAGAAAGGGACATTTTAGCTGGGACAAGGTATATATTAGTTTGGAAAAATTATAGATTTTGAATGAAGCAACAAATAGAATATGCATCTCATCAAATTCAGTAATATCAATATTGTGTAGGAATCAATAATCAATAGGCAGATACTCAATGATTTGAGACGACTCATTGATTGATCATTTCAAGTTAGACTAATTTATTTTCTATTCAAATTCATTAAACTTCTGTATCAATTTATTCTTTTCGAAAAGCTATGTCCTAGAGTCAGC